GAGAGAGAGAGAGAGAGAGAGAGAGAGAGAGAGAGAGAGAGAGAGAGAGAGAGAGAGAGAGAGATTGGTGACTTTGGGACTTGACAACATTTGGATCCAGACTCTGCATTGGGACTGAGACGTTGGAAGAGGGATTATTTGGGACATGTACCGAAGACTTGGTGTTGACGACATTCCCATCTTCCCCTCTTCTTCGTCTAAGCCCCCTCTTCTTCATCTGTGTATGGTTGGGGACTGACACATTCTTCCTGTGTGAGCGCCAGGCCCCTTCACACCATGGAATGATGATGATGTATGTTTGGTCTGCATTGCAACATTGATTGTTCGGATCATTGGTATATTAGCCTTCCGCTTCACTATCTTGTCCTACGTGAGAGAGGTCGGTTCTTGTTCTGGTCTGCACCTTTATGGTATGCGACAGTTTGGTATCGGAGCGGACCTCTCAATCAAAGGATCCGCCCAATCAAGTAGCCAGCTTGCTTGATCTACTGATTGTTGAATGATTGATTGATTGTTTATTAGGAAATCAAGTAGGACTTCGTCAAATCTCTGCAAAAAAAAAATTCTCTTTTTCGCAACTTCGGATATTAGCATTTCGTTTTCTGTTTTACTCTGGGCATATTAGGTGAACTAGGGAGGGTGTCATATTCTCAGGCTGGATATATTCTTCTCGGAAAGTGGAACCTCCAGTCTATTTTGCGCAAATTTTTTTTTTCAAGATCGCATTTTTTTTGAAAGCCGAAACTTTGCGGAACCTTGCCTAGATCTCGCTCATAGTACTCCTCTGAAATGCCTCACTCATAGCCGATCGACAGATATACAAAAAAAAAAGGGGGTGATCCTCTTCTTTTATTTTTTATTTTTATTTTATTCTGTTGATTAGGACCGGGAGGAAAGTACAGTTTGGTTGGTTACCTTCCTGCATTTTCCCTTCCACCCAACCCTTCGCCTGCATTCCCGGTTTGGACAGTGCCACATCAACAGTGCCACGTCAGCAGTGCCACATCAGCAACAGTGCCATGTCAGCAGTGCCACATCAGCAGTGCCACATCAGCAGTGCCACATCAGCAGTGCCACATCAGCAGTGCCACATCAGCAGTGCCACGTCAGCAACAGTGCCATGTCAGCAGTGCCACATCAGCAGCAGTGCCACGTCAGCAATGCCCCGCCGCCATGACGGGTTCATCATTGGGCATGACAGGCCAACGCTCTGATGATGTTGTCCTCCCTGTGTCCAACGACACCATCTCTCCAATCCTTGCCAATGTCCGACAACATCAAGGTGCAGACATGCACTGCACAAGGAAGCCAAGTGATGCGGCTGTACTGAAGATCCTTGTCCTGCGCAAGGAGCTTCACAGTCGCAACGTATGTCCCAGTGGAGTCCGTACAAATGGCGTTGATATTTCCAACGCCGAAGTCGTCGAATATCGTCTTCCACCTCCGCACAACAACATCCGCTGTGTCTTGCTCAGGCCCGTCCCTCAGGACTGTCCTCAAAAGGTATGCCCTTGACGATCTGGCTGCCAGAAAGTTGACTATCTGATCAGCAGTGATGGATTTGCGACCATCCGTGAGGTGGTTGTTCCTGTCGCAGCTACATCTCTCCTCAGTCCCACCAACATCTCAACAACGGCCCTGTGCTGCTTGACAATACCATTGCCAGAGATGCGGCGATGGTTGGGCAGGGATGGATGCACCCGAAGGGGACATATCGTGAGGTGTTGCTTGAACGTATTGTACTCTGACCTCTTTGCCGTGTGGAACGGGATGCCGCTGACATAAAACCACTGCGGGAAATACGTGTCCAAGTCCTGCTGCGACTTAGGATCGAGGGCGTCATCCATGCACGACTGACGAAGATTCTTTGTGGCCACTGTCGTCGGCGGACCTTGCGAAGAAGTCTTCTTGTTCCTCGACGTCCCAATGTCAGTGACCGCTCTCTTCTCCGCCCTCAACACTCTGCGGTCACGCTCCAGCTCTCCGTGAATGTCAATTGGAACGTCCGCAGACCTATCGTCGTCTGCCCCACGCCCGACATCCACACCTCCCCCCTCAAGCACTTCACACGCCCCGACAGCCTCTTTGGCATCGTCGCCCACCACTCGCTCAGGATCGTCTTCGTCTTCCTCTCCCCGTTGTCGACTGAGCTGTCCTCTCTTATCTGCCCACCCCTTCTCTGCAAGGTAAGCCTATATCTTCTTCCAATGACTCTGATCGAAGTGGTAGGAACTCTTGTTCCAGATCTCGGCCAAAATGTCCAGCGTGGCTTGAGGGAAGTTGTTCTTAATTGTGTAGTGCAACGCACACTTGCTCGAACTGCCGACAAATTCCTGGTCGCACAACTTGCACTTCACAACGAAGTTGCCATTGCGGTTCGGCAATGTCTGCCCCTTCTGCATCCATTTGGAACCGACAAACTTCAACTCTGCCTCTCTCTCCCTATCTCTGTTGACAAGGATAAACTCCCTCTGCTCCCCCTGACGCTTGGGCGGCAAAGTCGGCCTCCTGGTCCCTACTCTGGTCGTTGACGCCGCACTTCTCGCACAACTCTCGTCCAATTACTTTTCGTGGCACCTTTGGTGCCCGCTGTACCGACAGTGGCCGCACCCACAACACCTCCTAACGGGCCTGGGGAAGCTCAGGCAGGCCGATCCAAAGGCCCCTAGCAGGCGGGGGTCGGACGACGTTGACACCATGTCGGACCTGCTGCTGGAACGGCCCGCTCAGGTGCACGGCCCGTTTAAGCGTAGGGTTTGTACGAACAACACATACATACGCGGGAGGCCATACGTACGAGACATCTATACGTGAGCGGGCCATTTGTGCGCAGGCCGCTCTCTCTGTCTCTCTCATTCTCCCAGAAGCGCAATCTCTCTCTCTCTCTCTCTCTCTCTCTCTCTCTCTCTCTCTCTCTCTCTCTCTCACACACACACACACACACACACACACACACACACACA